CCAGCCTCTGCAGCTTCGGCCATTACTGCTGCTTTTCTCTCTCTCTAAGATATTCTTTTATGGCCTCTCTGCATTGTTTTGCAAGTTTGGACGTTAGTTCGCGACTGCCTGCAGCTCGTGCGATTCCATGCTGGCGTATCAACTCGAAAAAGCTCTCGGCGTTGATCAATCCCTGAGAGATGCGCCATGCATTCGACTTCATTGAGCATCGTTTGGAGTGATTGAATGCATATCTGGCCCTAACAATTACTGGCGGTTTTCTAACGATGTATCGAGCCGGTGTTGCTATCCTCTCAGGCAAGTCTGGTACTAATTTTTGGATCCCGAAGGGATGGAAGGCTTGGTAGGCCATGTGTGCGGGAATCGATTCCACGTGTATGTTGCAGGGCATCTCCGACCACTGCGCCACATGCGCCGACTTTGACGGTAGAGGGTTGAAATCCTGCATTAATTTCCAAACAATCTATTAAGTCAACTCTAATTCTGATCGAGCGCAAACATTACGAAATTACAATATTAACCTTTTTATTTATTGTTTACTATAATTTTTCACGGCCGGGTATCAAGCGGAACGCAACCAAGATGATGCCGCGACATTTGGAAAACTCCGGATCATAAGTGTCTGCGGTGGGGAACGAACGCGCTGTTACTCTTTCCTGGGGCTAACGTGTTTATCACCACACCATGCAGGTCCTTCCTTTCGCCTTTCTCTCAGCTAGTATTGCAGTGATCGGTAGAAAACTAGCTGAGAGACAATAAAGCGTTCGTTTGCGACTACAGACACCTGCGGTCCGGAGTTTTGTAAATATCTTAGCATCATCTTAGTTGTATTACGAAATTATTTCTTAATCACAAAATCACTGCTGCCATCACCCATGTATTTTATTTATTAAGATTAATCATATTCAACTTTATAGATTTCGCCGCTGATTGAGAATGTCACTCAAGTTACGATAGAGGCTTCACCATGGCCAATTCGTCTGAATGTCATGCGGATCACATTTCGGATTGACAACAGATAAGCTACTTTAAAGGTTATCCATATGGGCTAAGAAGCTCGCTCGAAAAGTTTTTTTCGTTTTCATTTAGATTCAGGTACAGCAACTTATAATATCAGCGCAAGAAAACACTTGTTATACTACTGTCAGTTAATTTCACGTACACACTTATTAAGTTATAATACTATCTAGGAACATCGTGGCTTCCCATAGTTGTCAACCATAAATACAGACAACTTTATAGTTTCACTCACGCCTTCTTCAGCTTCCTAGGCTTTCACATCTTGTCGTAGTTCAGAAAAACTGAGCGTCCTGGTTTCTTCATGATCAGGTTTTTCTCTACTTCGCTTGCATTCTTTAGGTAAATCTCTCCTCATAAAATCTTCTTTGTTCCGAGCAAGGTTTTTTCCTTATCGAAAGACTTGTTTGTAAGCCTCGTTGATGGTTTGTCGCTAGGCTGTGGAAACGGAGTTATCCTGAATGGGGAATGAAATTTATGTAGAAGAATATGTTCGCATCTCCGGCTTTTCAAAAATTCGGACGTTTCCAATGCTACATCTTTTCTGAATGAGTCCAGTATTTTCGTCCACAAATTAATCAATTTCACAACGGAGAGCGATAAACTCTATTAATCAATTTGGCAACAATGAAAATAGAGATAAAGGGCCCATTGCCTGAAGATGATGCGTGGTCTCCAGCTCCAACTCTACTCGTTTTTCGTATGAAGTGCTGAGATATTTGCAAAAATCCGGACCACAGGTGTATGCAGTGGGGAACGATCACGCGCTGTTGTCCTTACCGGGGAGCAGCGCACTTCACCACTACACCATCCGGGTCACCGTTTTGGTACACCATCTACTCGTTTTGTTGCTTCGATGCCGTTCATCATAAATGTTGTCGAGTTCGTACTTGAGCTCAACCATTCGGCTTTGTCTTGACAATCTACTGCTTTCAAGCCTCATTAGCATGTCGAATACTAGCCAAAATTGTGAATCGTTAAAGCTGGAAGAGAGATTTGCCGCTTGCAACTAGTATTCTTCCACGATGGTAGCGTTTTCTTTGCTTAGTCCACACGGACGAAAGAACGATCTGAAGAGCCACAACGATGCTGAGATATCTGCAAAACTTTGGGTCGCAGGTGCCTGGAAAATTTATAGGGGAATGTTTGTTATCATTCGACTTGACCTTCTGCAGGACAATAGCAACCCTAGCGGTGATAGTGATTCCTGCGATTAGTCAACTAACAGACCGACGAAAGTGTAAAAATCCGGCTTCCTGTATGAGTATGAATTCCGTTTTTCACCACAGTGGAACAAGTGTCAAATTAACCGTACCTCCAAAATTGCACTGTGTTGTACCCAAGTAACGTCACCAGTGATTCGAAGCACTGATGATCGTCAATGGAATGTGCTAGGCTATACTCCAAAATGAGAAGTAAACCCTAGAAATTTAAGAATACCAAGTGTGTTGAAATAAACCTAGACAATAAACAAATTAAAGGCGAGGCAGGATAAAAATAATAGTTTCAACTTATTATTTACTGCCTATTCTTTTTAATGGCCAGGTATGTTAAGCAAAATAAGTTCTATGATGCTGAGAATTTACAAAACTCCGAACCACAGGTGTTTGCGGTGCTGAAAGAACACGTTATTAACCTTTTCGGGGGTTAACACGTTCACCAACGCACCATGCGGGTCCAACGTTTCGCCTGTCTCTCAGTTAGTTTTCTATCTCGACTAGTGCCATTACCAATCACCCGTTAACGGGATTGATCTGGTAAGCCCAAATCGGCGTTGAACCCAGTTAAGCTGAGGCTGTAGTCAAGAATACAATGTTTTTATTTACTGCCTATTATAGTGAATATTGTGATTTCTGTGATTCTGTGACACTTTCTGTGACAACACCCTCTGCTTAACTGGATTATTGACTGCATTACCGATTTGGGCTCCCCAGATCAATCCCGTCGATGGGTGAATGCTGATGACACTCATCGACAGAGTAATAGCGCGTTCGTTCCCCACCGCAGACACCTACGATACGGAGTTTGGCAAATATCTCATTTTTGTGGTTGTATTTAGCAGAATACCCTGCCTTGAAAAGTCGTAGTAGGTAGCAAATAAAAATTAAAACAGTGTGATGAGCGTCTATAGAGTAAAAAGGCAGGAAGGCATTGATAGGTGCGCAGTGAGGTCTATGAAGAAGACACAGACCTTTGGAAGAAACTAAAATAAAGAAAGTAGCAACATGCGCTGATTTCGTCTTCGAAAGAACGTAGCCATTCTTGTTCACCTTCTTGATCCACAGTTCATGTGCGCCACCTCCAAAGTACACAAGAATTGCTCTCGAAGATTACTTAACCAAATCCACATCAGAAAGACCCTGAAGCCCTAATCTTCGGGATAAATTGGACATCTGATGCATGAATATGTGTTTTATGTCGAAAATCGAATGATATTTCATACCATAGGAAGGAAAGTCGATGGTTAGAGGAATAGTGCTGTCAACCAACAACGAAGCAAAACAGCTTCCAGCAAAAGCACGTGCTATGTAGGCCCATTTGAACGCAACATAAACTATCCATATCAGTAGCTGGAGCCTCCTTAAAGTTCAAAAGCTCGTAAATCGTGGATTTATACGAAATAGAGGATTTATGAACCAACAAAGCAGCGAAGATACCTAAACAATCGTAAATTTAATTAAATCACGCCCTCATAAATTTAAGACAACACGAATTCACTTCTTCACCTTTTCAGATGTTAATCCTGTCGACAGCTTTTGAATTTACACATTATTACTTACAAAACCGACAAGAGTTCAAAACAACCGCTACGCGCCAAACTTTCGAAGATAATGTGGGCCGAACACTTAATGCCTAACGATGTTCAACGAGTCGCTAGAGCGAACAGTACCTAATGAGCTACTCTTGCACTTGACGAGAATTGGAAGGTCCATTGGCCTTCGCTTAAGCCACTCGACGATCATTGGGACGATAGGTGATACAGGTGATAATTTGCCAAACATGCCTTTTTGACAGAGCTCGGTCCACGATACAGGAAAAGTATAACCTATTTTGTCGTCGGTGGAAAAGGTACTGATATGACTCTACTATAATTGGAAGTTCCTACGAAGGAGAACATGTGAGTTTCTTTAGAAACAAAGGTCACAAAGAGGGTATAGGCTTGGCATTCAATTTCCAATGCATCTTATGCAGTCGGCATCCTTTTTGTAGTCAGCATTAAAGCAATCCATGCCAACCGTTTACCGCCGCAGTGTGGCTAGGAGGCGTTTCTGGGTGTCGTACTGCGATCTACAGTTGGGCGATTCGTTTCCACGGCATGGTCTCCGAAGCTGAGAAGGAGTCCGGCGTTTCCGTCACAAAGCCTAGCTAAGAGTAAACTAATACCAGGATCCACCATCGTCCTGGTATCAAAGTGGCATGGTGGTAAATCTCCGATCCACAAGGGCTGCAACTGCCTGTGGTGATGAAGATCTGGGACGGACTTTGGCCAGGCTGACTGTGGGATTCTAGAGAACCACAATGGTATAACCAGCTAATTTTAGAAAAATAGAGACTAAGCTGGGGACCACTGAGCCGTTCAAGTAACAAGTAAGTAAGTATTAAGGCAATGCAATCAAATCGTAAACGTTTCCTGCTTTGGCTGCACAAACCTGTTTAGGATATTTTATATTGTATGTTTTGCAGTGAAAGTATTTTTTGTCCCTGCCAGTGAAGAGTAACTATTCTCTGACTCTCAATAACCGTCTTCCAGTATATGACCAGCCAACGATGGAGAAACACAATTAATTTAGAGTCAACTCAAACATCTGAATCCTGGCCACGTTCACTGTGATATACATATACGTATAAATTTTTATGCATATCAATTTACAAAAAGGTCCACAAAAATCATAAAAGCAAAACACTACAGCGAAAGACTGGAAGAAAATAGAAAACTGTTGCGATTAGTAGACTTAGCGCTCGAGAGCGATGTAACGTGCCGAATGACCGATGACGGGAGTCCCGGAGTGGACTGGATGGCTTGTAAAAGCGAATTGCAGTAAGGATGGGCAATTAATTGGCTGTTGTCATTCATGATGGCTAGAGTGAGGACGATAAAAAATGAACTCACTGAATCTGCAACCCAACATCAATCGCCGATATCCACCTCAGAGAAGAACGTTCCTACCAATCCGTTCCCAAGACATAGTAAGCCGTTAGGAGACACCTGTGAACGTCGTTCGTCCCAATGGCAGAATTTCTAAGCGCAGAACGCGCATGAGATTTTCCGAATTTCCTAGGCCAACCATTCGTCGCCTGTCCGGTGATATTGGCGTCAACCGTTTACGAAGGAAAGTAGGTGAGCAATCGCTGCAGTTTATTGTGTGTTTTCTCAGCGATGTTCCACTCAGTGCTGCAACACAAGACGATGGAGCCAAGAGATAAATGATTCAAGGAAAAGACGTGGCATGTTCCAGAGAGCCGCCGCTTTTTAATCCGTGGAAGTGAATAATAGATGTTTTCTATTAACACACTTTTTTGATGAGCAGACACGAGGTTGTTAACAGTAAGATTTATTCAATACGATGCTGGTTGACCTTTCTGAGGTTCCGCGTTCTTCAGAGCTTGAAATAGACAAACTGACATGCAATACACCCAGTCAAAAACCATCATAACGTCAGCAGATAAAATCCTATAGTTTTTTGTCTACTATATGAATACTGGGTGCGTGTGGCGCAGTGGTTGGAGGCGCCTTGCAACAGGCACGAGGAATCGATCCCTGGGCCCGTGGGTGGGCCATCACCAAGCCTTCCATCCCTCCGAGGTCGGCAAATTGGTACCACACTTGTCTGGGAAGATAGCAACATTGGCTCGATACATCGGTAGGCCACCGCGAGTTCTTGTAAAGACCAGATATGCATTCAATCACCTGTAAAGGATGCTCAGTGAAGCTGAATGCATTGCGCATCCCTCAGGGATTGACTAGTGCCAAAAGCTTTTCAGAACTTTATGTGAATACTTCGCAACACACGCACACACACACACACACACACACACACACACACACACACACACACACACACACACACACACGCAACAAATAGACTTATTGTCTTTGATCAGCAGAAATTAGTAACTACGATTATTTTCTCTAGAACTCATCGGCTTCTGTACTACGAACTTATTATACGGTTTTCTTTTCTTTTCCTATACACAGTTTTATAGTTTTGACTATAGTTTTATATGCACTCTATGCGCGAGAAAAATATCCGTGATTTCAATAGAAAACTCTTATTTCTAATTGTTAGGCGTTCAACTTTATCTTGCCGACGTTTCAGCGCTCGTATTGCGTTCTAGCGCCGTTTACCGTCCAGATGACTATTTCTGAAACACTGACATGTTAAGATTTTACTACCAACCTAAATTTGTTGTTAAATATTAAACAGAGAAACGTTAAATATTGACAAAAACAACGGTGGCTTTCGTCTTATTGATCGCTGCGAACGTATTTCCTAATACTGATGAAGAGACACCTAACTATTTATTTATGAGATCTTATAAACTGATCTTCTTAAGCTGACGCGAGGTTGGTATAGATCTTCGTTGTCGTTGTCGTTGTCGTTGTTTTTGATGTTATTGATCGATGGCTGACGTTTCGGCGACTTCGCCTTCCTCAGAGCCGTGATGTTACGTCAGCTTAAGAAGATCAGTTTATAAGATCTCATAAATAAATATATCAACTATTTATGCCGAGGTTCATAGAAAGTCGGTCTTTCGAGTTATTAAGACACCTAACTAGTTTCATAAGAGAATTGGTTTGCTAGCAGTTCCTTCAAAGTGGTTTGCTAGTAAAAAAATAAACGGCAAAGCTCTCGGTGTTGAACAATCCCTGAGCGATGGACCATGCATTCGACTTCATTAAGCATCATTTGGAGGTAGTTGAATGCATATTTGGTCTTTACAATGACTTGCGGTGGCCTACCGATTTATCGAGCCACTGCTGCTATCCTCCCAGATAAGTCTGGTACCAATTTCCCGATCTCGGAGGAATGAAAAGCTTGGTGGGCAATGGGCGCGGGGATCGATTCCACGTGTATACTGCAGGGCGCCTCCGACCACTGAGCCACACACGCCGTTTGCTAGTAGCGAAAGAAATTAAGTGATTCGTCTTTACGGTTGCTTTCTTTTTGTTTTTTTTTTACAGAACACTTTAACTCATTTCTAAATTACAGACTCTTCAAATTGCACCTGAATCCAAACTGCGATACCGAAGAGGTGTTCTGGACGTCACTGAAGATGTCCTCATATTGGGGTCGATATATCGACTGTGACAAATCCCAAACGTTCTGCGATGATCGCGCGGACGAGATTACCGCATGCGATCGACCGTCCACCTACCACGTCATCTGGCACAACGGAATCGATCGTTATGAATGACGAATACGTTTTCCTCATTATATTCATATCTTAGCACGGAATGATAAACGGTTCCACATATGAGTGATAGACACCAAGCGATAGTTTCCTTTCAAATAAAGCGCCAGAAATACACAGATCAAAGTGGAAAATGAATTTGAATCAAGCAAAGTTCACGATTTCCAAGAAGTTTCATCAATGCAAGCAATCCGAATGCTACCTGCTTACAAATTTCTTCAGTTAACGGGTCACATTTGATGTATTTCCCAGTGAAGACAAAGCGCCAAGATGGACCGATCCATAGGCGTTTTATCCACCAACTAAACTCGTTTCGAACAGAGAAAAGTGGGTGGTTCCTTTCTCCCTTTTTCCAAGCCCTTCACCACCATCGAAATGAGTTAGAAATAATCCATCAGCAAGACAATGGTCTCAAGAACTTTTATGTCTAGGTAATCCAGTACTTATCCTTCCCATTATATAAACAATAACTGACAAAGTACGGTGGTTAGAGATGCTATGCAAAACACACAATCGATGCTTCACACTGGGTCTACCAAACCTTTCATCTGTTTCACATCGACAAATTGAGGCCGAACTTGTCTGAAAAGTTCTCTGTTAGCCACGACAGCTTGTGAATGTCTGTGGTTAAGACCTTTTAACTCCCTGGTAGAGCTACTGCAGGATTCCAGAGGAAACGAACTCGACCAGCATTCAACTCCAATAACTATGAAGACAAAATCATGTCGTAAAAGCCAAATGCTTACTTAAATTGGAATACCTTTGTGGATGGCGGAAACAGCAACTGAACTGAATAAGTGCTGGAATCACCAAAATCCTTCAATCGGGTTATGAATGAAAAGTATCAAGTGGACCACGTGTCGTTCTGTACATCGTCTAGTGACTCGAGCTGGCGTCTATAAATCTGCCATTTGTCCCTGATGCGTAGAAGAGCAGCTAGGTGGTTTTTGCTCGTCCTAGAGACTCGTTGAGCACCATATCTTTCTTCTAGGGTTTTCGTGGAGAAGTATGACTATGGACTCAGTGATCTTCCTGCAGTACGTTTGACATTCCGAGGAATCTAAGCACTAGCGGCTCTTTTCCATCAGTTGCCGTTCATTCCAATCACGTCTCCGGGCCACATTCTCTGCGACAATGTGGCGTATATTACGAGGTCTATGATTTTTGATCGTTGACGTGGATCGAAGCTTCGGATCCCTTCCCTCGCTGGCGAGCAAGTCTTCCAGTTAATCATTTGAGGGAGTCAGGTTGCTCCCATAGCTATCCTTCGTCCAGTGTTCGTTAATGCTGTTTATGACGACTGGAGTAGAAAGTTTGTAGACGACATACAGTAAGCAGATTGGGCGATAGTTGCCGATACCGTGGAGGTCACTGTTCTTGAACAACAGCACGGTTTTGCTGGCCTTCCACTGAGTAGGGATTTTACATTCAAACATGCAGCGTGTAAAGAGCCGATCAGTGTGCTTAAGAGGACTAGCGAAGGTTCTTCAAATGTTCAAATCTTATCCTGTCCGGACCTGGAAGTATTCGATTTTTCACCGACGAAATAGCATGCTGGATTTCGAAAGGGAAAACCGTTGGTACGACCCCTCCACCCTCCTTTATTTCATGTGAGGGCAAGAGAACGTGGTTACTGAAAAGATTCGAGTAGTAATCGCAAGCAATTTTCTGCAATGCGTTTCTGGAAACTGTACCTGTGTACCTGTACCTGCTGAGCGACGGAGTTCGATCATCTTCGTATTTTAACTGAAGAAGATTTCGTGGCTTTTGCAAATGATTCTCCCATCCTTTGCAGCTTCGACCATTACTGCTGCTCTTCTCTCTTTAAGATCTTCTTTTATCGCCTGTATGCATCATTTTGCAAGTTTGGGCGTTTGTTCGCGGTTGCCTGCACCTCGTGCGATTACACGCTAGTGTATCAGCTCGAGTGTCTCTGGAGACAGACTTCTCTTGGTGACTTTCGAACTCTCAGCTTTCTTAGCGCTACCGTGTAGAAGTAGAATGACCTGATCCTATTCTTTGTTGACGTTATCAGGAACGGTACCTTTGCAACAGCCGACTAATGAATTGAGCAAACTCCAGTTTGTTGTGGTTTTGGAACCTTGTCTTTTGAATTCAGTGGGTTTTTTTTGTTTGAGCGAGAAAAAGAAAATTCCACGAAGAAGGCGACGAGTCGATCTCGTGTAGAGCTTTGGGACAACAGCAACACTGTTTAAGCGACACCTTCGATTAACTATGAAGTGGTTTTATCCTTTCTATCTACTGCTTATTCTTTTTAACGGCAGGGTATGTTGCGAAATATAACTTCAATAATGCTGAGATATTTTGATTGCTGATGGCAAAAGATCGATGGAACTAGCTGAGAGACAGGCGTAACGAAGGACCCGCATGGTGTGGTGGTGGACGCGTTACTTCCCGGAAAGGACAATAGCGCGTTCGTTTCCCATCGCAGACACCTGCGGTCCGTAGTCTTACAAATATCTCAGCTCGAAAGGCCGACTTTCTATAAACCTCGGCATAGATAGTTGATATATTTATTTATGTGATCTTATAAAGTGATCTTCTTAAGCTGACGCGAGGTTGGTACAGATCCTCGTTGTCGTTGTCGTTGTTTTTGATGTTATTGTTCGCTGGCTGACGTTTCGGCGACTTCGCCTTCCTCAGAGCCTGGACGTATTTAATATTAGGATGATTTTATTATTCGGTGGAAAAGAAAGGTTAAAGTGTTAATGAAGATCAAACTTTCAAATAGACGCCATATTGAACAGAAAGGCCACTCACCGTGATGTTACGTGTGGGACTGCCCCACACGTAGTTCACGTGGGGTCACGAGCAAGACACGCCCCGAGGTCAAAATATCATTTTGAAATAGGGCGACAGGTCACGCGTGATAGTGAGGCATTCGTCCTTCCGGTTCATCTTTGGATTTTTGAAATTTATCCAAAACGCCTCAAGAGTTTTGCTCGTTGATGTTTTTGATTCCTGCGCTAGGATCCGCACATTCACTTCAAAATATCTCAGCATTATAAAAGTTATGATGTGGTTTTCTCCATTGGGATACTTTCACCTCCAGCGTTGAGAGTGGGACTTCTGGAATTGCGAGTTACCATGGGTGGTCTTCGTCGTCATAGTAAACTCAAACAGCTGCTCAGCCTGCTTTTTCCGTTTTAATCCTTAGGTCTCGATACGACGTTCTTCTGAAGTTTTTTTGGGTCCAATGTTAGCGTTAAAATCCTAAGTGATAACCTTAAAAAATGCCTTTTTTCTTTGTGGAACTTCTCCAAGACCATATAGAACCCTTCCACCTTGTCCTCGTCACAGCTTGATGTCGGTGTGCAAACAACGAAGAACGTCATGGCCGGTATTAACTCACACCTTTTCAATCACAGGCGTCCGAGTCGAGTTGTTAGTTGTTGGAATGAATTGATGTTTATGGTCAAAACTCTTGTTGACAAGAACTCCGACGCCGCTTACTCTTGTACTGTCGCATTTTCCGAAGAACAGTTCTTCTCCGGTGTCGCAAACGGCGTTGAGTGGATGGCATCTTCTCCTCTCGGCCAGTCCAATGAGGTCATACTCTATCCTTCCTGCCAGCAATATCAAACACTCCGTCGAGTACTCGGAAGCAAGTGTGCTTGCACTGTAGGTACAGATCGTCACTTTAGTCCATTTCGCACATTAGGCAGCCTGGAATGCGCTGAGATTTTAGCAGGCTCTCCGTAGTCATCCTACGTAACGTTGCCTACCGTGGACTCATTCGATACCTGAGGTATGAGACCCGTCTCACGGGTAGCTTCCCAGTCTCTTCCAGAGTAGACATAGAGCTTATTTGTTAGAGGCGACTCCTACTCGCCTCCCATATACTTTCGTTTTACTTGATTGGGGTTTCTGGCAGAACTGACTCGTAGAATACAAACTGCATGAACTAGAACACATCTATGAACGTATATGCAAGAATACGTCAGTGTATATACAGAACCTGTGTGTCAAATCTGAGCAGGAAAAACAATAGTGCATCCTCTGTAGCTCCCTGCGTTTGAGTGATGGAAAGGTCTTGGTTCTCTACTCACCCTTTATCTACCAGCTGGGAACGCGCCACGTTCTCACGCGACTGACAGGCATGAGATCCCTCTACGAAGGAGATCCGTGGAAATTTACTGCACTGTAGAAAAATACTAACTGTTAGAAGGTTTCAAAAACAATTGTGGACTTTTTCGTAATAATTTTTAAAAACATATTTTTTAAAAGATATTCATTGCTTACAACCATTTTACGCGTTCGCTTTCAACTTTATTTGTTACGTTAACTTGACACTTGAATTTGACACTTGAACAGCCCGTCCTCACTGGTTGTGCAGGTTCTAGTACAATCACCATTTATCGGAGATTTGCTGGTTAAGCCACTGTGGTTCCCTGGAATCCCGAGGTCAGTCTGGCCAAAGTCTGTCCCAAGTCGCCACCACCGCAGACAGTCGCCGCCCTTGTGGATCAGAGAGAGATTTACCAACATGCGGCTTTGATACCAGGACGGTGGCGGATCCTGGTATTGGTTTACTCTTAACTAGGCTTCCTGATGAAAACGCCGAACTCTTCCTCAGCTTAGAAGATCCTGCCGAAGGAATGAATCCTCTCGCTGTGGATCGCAGTCCGACATCCAAGAACACCTTCCAGCCACGATGAGGCGGTAAACCATTGGAAGGTGTTACGTCAACACCGGAAAGAAAAAAGAATTAGTATCTCAACTTGTCTAAGTAATAGAAATTGAGACTCGTAATTTTGAGAAGAAAGAGGTGAGCATGATGAGCGGGATTCGGAACAACTTACGATTTGTTATTGTACCATAGGTTGAACTCGCTACAGTTCCTTGTTCTGAGCAAGATACAATGCTTCGAAATAGACAACCGCTCCACTTAAGCACCATAGTTATATTAATAGTTAATAATAATAATCACAAAGGATAAAAACGTTCAATAGGTCGATGTTGACCAATCCCTTTGGGATGCG